GGAGACAGAAATCCCGAAAAATTGACATTAAGTTGACTCAAAAATGGACTGAAGACGAATTTTTTGAAAGCTTTGGGTATTTAAGTTGACTCAAAGTAAAAGGAATCTATCAATTTATCTCTTAATGATCTGTGAGAAATCATATTATCACATATTAATCATTCCATCAATTGTATATACACTTTTTTTTTTAGTTAAATTCTTAAATTGTGTAATAAAACGAGATTTGATGACAACTAATGATCTGCTAGTACCGTTATTGTAAAAAATAACGCAACTCGCTGTCGTGTGATGAAGAACGGACACTTTATTTGGGCGTAAAATGGCTAGAGTAAGAAGAAAAACAAATGACAAGATTTTTATTATTATTATTTTTTATTTATTTATTTATTTTTTTTTTGATGCTGAGTAAAACAAGAGACGGGGTTACCTTATTTCAAGTAGCTTAACCACCCTCAATAGTATGATTTGCAGTACCGAACCGCTAAGTACTTGACAGCGCACCATCCATAACCACCTCTTCTTAGGCATGCCGAGTATATTACATTTGCATAATCACTAATCTTTTTTAACTAAAAGAATCTTCACATTAATTAGACATTAAGTACATGACCGACACAAATCTAGAATAGTAGGACACCAGATGAGGATCCTATTCACTACACTAGTGAATTCTTCTGAAAGACAAGCCTGTGAATCATAGTGTGATGGTCGATGACCGAGACTATATATTAATTGAGCTTATTATGGCACAAAGTGATAAGTGTAGAGCAGCGAATGAAGGTAGGATGATCTACAGTAGCAGCGGTATTCTTACGGCGACAGGATTTTGTATTGTTTTCATATGTTTACTTCGATACAAGTGTTAATAATTTTTGCCTGAAAATTTATTATTATTATTTTAATCATTTCACCCCTAAGCAAGGTAATAAAGTCACTAAGACACAATAGGTTACTGGGTGTTAGAGAATATAAGAAAAATATACTATTAAGGAGAGAAAACAATAAAAGAATAAGAATTAAGAAAATAAACGATAACGATTGGTATTTCATTTAAATTTTTGAAGATCAAATAGCATAAGCTAAAAAAGTGTTCCACAAGCGAGAAGTGCAACAGAAGAAACCATTAGCACAGAATTTTCCGTTACATCTATTTCAACTGTAAAATGATGAGACCTTGCTGCCAATCAAGTACTGCGCTTAAATTCATAAAGTCTACTCACTCTGGGAAAAGTTCAAAACAATTACCATGAAAGTGTTTGAAGAAAAAGTACAGGGTAACTACATTACGGCGGTGAAATTATATTATTTACAGTAAGACTTTCATAACGTTTCTGACATTGTGTCCCTGACCTTCTTCAGGTGTATGTCAATCCGAGTAATCTTCAGGCAATTTCGAACCGAGCACTTTATGGGGGTAAATTATTATCGTCCCGGGTTAATGTCTAGTAATATCTAATCTTGTTATATTTTTTTAGTACTGCTCAGTCATTGCTAGACCTCTTTTCTACAAAGTTTGAAGGCACCACCCGGCCCAGGAATTGAACTTACAAATGCTTTAATGTTTTCGGCTTTTGCCGAGGATTAAAGCGTTGGTTTGTGAAGTGATTCAAGTTTGGGACGGACACATGATTTTTCTTCTATTGTTATTATTGAAGGAGTTTTCGTATATTAAGACAGTAGTCAGAGATATATGAAAAAATCGAAACTTACATAACATCTCCTATATCCTGTCTGGCTATTTATCTGTCTCTATCTGTCAACTGGTTTTCATACAGATTTTGTGACAATGGCGTTGGTAGAGTTATATACATTTCTTGTTCATTTTTAATTCATTCTACAATCTCTTCATTGAATTTTATTTCAATATCTTAAATTCAAAGACTATAATTATCAGTTATTGTTTTCAGTCCAAAAAATAGATACAATAGCCCCGTGGATTAAAACGTTGGTTCCGGAATTTGGTGACATAGTAATTGTGTTTAATCCCTGGTTCAGGTTGTACAGACATAGACTCGGTGGAAACAGGGTATGCAATACCTGAGATGTACTAAATAAGAACATGACGAGTTATCTCCTCTCTATTGCCGTAGATTAAATAAAAAGGGTTCAATTTGAAATTCCCTGAATGTTACCCGGATCATTACACTTGAAGAAGGCCGGAAGACACAACGGCCGAAACATTGTGTTAATAGAGAAATGAGAACATTAGTCCTAATGTAAATAATACAAACGACTTTTGTTGCTCGCCTCTGAAATTATACTCTTTTTTAACTTAACCGACAAAAAAGTTTGACTATCTGAAAAAGAAAATACTTTCATATTTTCTATCAAGAAAAATGTCTACAATGTTTCACTTCTGTCTTAGCTTGTTCTTAGACCAGAACCCCGGTCATCCAAGGCCAGGAAATAAATAAAAATTTAGTTCCATGGGAGCCGTACTCCCAGACTAAAACTTCCTATTGCACTTAAAAGGGAGGTAGCGTCAGGGTCAATCTTTGATGCTTGAAGAGTCCCAGAGGGAAATGCGAGGGATCTTAAACAATTTTGTTCCTACCCACACGTATGCTGGACAGATTTCCATTTTAAACTCAACTTTGTGTCACATTTTATTCTCGTGAGAGACGTGAATAAATAGCTCCTTCCTTCAGATTGAAATGAAAATAAAGGAAATCGCATTGATACGTTCAATTAAATCAAGAAAAAAAATCTTTTCGCTACTACAATATTTCCTGCTATATTTTCAAGACTTTAACTATAAACCGTTTTTGATCCTCCAGAGCATTTTAAAAAAAAAAATAAATACAAAACGATTTTGATATTTTGAAAGAGATGCCAGCACACAACCTTGGCATCTTTCAAAAGCGTTGGCAACAAATTGACATACTAGCCTCCCACTGATTTATCTGTTTCCGGTCGTGTACAAGGTCAAGTGTCTGTGGCTTCCATTCTATACACTTGTCTAAAATTTCACAGATAAATTCTTTGGCAACAAATCTCTTGAAATGGCATCGGTTTCTATGGAAAATCTCACCAATTCTCTCGTAATAAATTTAGCTTATGTAAACACCAGCTATAATAAATGTTAGAATCGAAATGGTGATGGTGAATTATGAGTGTGATATGAATGAAAGGGGGTGAAGTAGGAAATAGAGATTATGAAGATAAGGAAGACAAGTATTTATCCTCGATTTGTAAGGCGTCAAGATTAAAGAATTCAAGGAAGCACCCAGGCGGGAGTTTAGTCCACAAAGTGATAGATCTTTGCGAGGGAAAAAGCTGAGTGAAACTTCCCTCTCACATTTCGGACACGGCGGAAATAGGGGTGATTCAACTCTACGGTAAAGCTGTAAAGATCTGAAATTGTGGAACTAAAAAAGCAAGTCCCCTGATTGGAAGATTGAAGTGTTTGAGGAGCTTGGAACCACCTCTTAATTGCTGCTGTCCCCAGGTCCACTCTGACCCGGGGTGGTAACACCTGTTAGTGTCCCTGCTATGGGCAAATAGGGAACTCACAAACAAAAACAAAAAACTATGAAAGTATAAAAATACATTTTTATAGTAACAATACCAGAAATACATTTTTTATACGAAAAATTACTAACAATACCTATTTATAGGAAAATGACTAACAATACATTTTATCTGTAGTTGAAACCATAAAATTCTGTTCAAAATATTTAAATTTCGGCATTAAATAACCCATAGAGGTTGATATGCTGCTAAACAAAATGAATTAATCAGAATCCAATGTTACGTCTGTGGGAAAAGGGACTGCAGTGTAGAAAATAAGTCATTACCAACAAAACGACAAAAACAATTTCAAACTCTATCAACGCTGGAAAATAGGGAATTAAGTGGTTCCAGCCCAGATAATGCAACAATGGCCAATTGTTGGTTTAGTTTGACTCTTGTAAAGATAAAGATTTATACTGCTTGCTTGATGGTTATAAAATGTATTTTTTTAAAATATGATCGTTAAAAAAAAGTTGTCGAGCAAAATGTAAACAAGGACAACATCAAGGACACATGGCACAGTGAATAAGGACGTTGGTTAGATCCAGTGACAGGACCCAAAGAGTTTGAGTTTAATATACGGTTAAGGCAGTGGATAACTTTCAGAGGCTGAATTAACCATAAATAAACAAATAACTGATAACTGACATCCATTGAAACATGGTACGTGGAACTAGAACAGTCTAACCCAGTGAGCGAAAAAAAGGGTTCAGTTCGATATTCCAACTACCTGAAAAAGGCTGGAGCGTACAACAGCCAAAACGTTATAATAAATATAGCGGCAAAGATGAGGACAATAGTCCGAATAATGTAAATAAAATGTAAACAGTTTCAATAAAGCCTGGTTGTTTCCTTGAATATCATAATCTTGACCTGTTCAAGTCAAGGGACAAAGTTTATCTATCTTCCTTATCCTCATACATTCATATCATACACCTCATTCATCCTTTCTCTTTTAACGGTAACTCTCTACCGTAAGTGGTTTTTGGGTGAATTTCCGTATAAAAGAAGCAATTTAATAATATTGATAAACTATGCGCAATTTCTAGTTTTTCTAACGAAAAAAAAGTCATGTAGATATCAAAATTTGCAATAGTGCTTCAAATTTGGCAGCCAGTTTTAATAAATGTTTATGCTTTCAAGGAAAAAATAGGTTGCTGACGTAAATCCTTTCAAGAGTCACGAGCAAGACCTTGCATTCAGAAAAAGAAAAATAACGATTTTTTATCCCTATGCCTTACAGTCATAAAAAAAGTTTTGTTTTTTTTCAATCCTACTTCTAGGTGTCTAACAGAAGATGGTGAAATTTATATATTTAATAAGACCCTCGATTTTTTTTTTTTTTTTTTTGTAATTGAGAAAAATTTTGACTCCGTGATTATCGACACCCTCCAACAACACACCTAAAATGCTTGTTATTGAAATTTGCTGTTAACAGAAGTAAATACTATTGACATTTCTTTGTTATTTTTTGTAGGTTAACC